CATGTGACAAAACATGTACAATGAGCTTGAATGAATGAGGAATTCCAAATCTGATGCAACCAACAAACTCAAGAATATTTTTGAGTCAAAGTGAAGGAAAAAAAACTGAAATGAAATTTAATTTTGAAAGAGATTCTGATTAAATTTCATAACTTGGGTACATGAGATCTGAGCGAAAGGCCTGAGGCTCAGTCTGTGTCTGCCATGGTGATTTATGATCCTTTGAGGTCAGAAAACATTAGAAGGGACAGAAGCAGGTCTAGAGGTCACAGAGCCAGGTCAGAGGTCACCTCCGCTGTCAGGCCGGGGCAAGGAAATGCGATGAGAGAAGTTCAAAACTCTCCTGTCTCAGCTCTGGCTGTGGGAGGCGTGTGTTCCCCCGTGGATGGTGGCAAGGCGAAGGTGGGACCTGCTTGACCCGCAAGGGCTGCAAGATGGAAGGAGGATACGTACAGAGATAATCACTAGATATCACCATCTGGGTAGACAGAGCGGGGCCAAACAAAGGCACGCACCACAACACACACTCTCTCGCTCTCTCTCTCTCTCTCTCTCTCTCTCTCTCTCTCTCTCTCTCACACACACACACACACACACACACACACACACACACACACACACACACACACACTGAAGACCAATGTCACAGCAGCAGGCTAATTTCTCACTCAGTGTGTGTGTGTCTGTTATACTTGCAAATGGACAGATGGACAAGACAGATAGATAGATAGATAGATAGATAGATAGATAGATAGATAGATAGATAGATAGATAGATAGATAGATAGATAGATAGATAGATAGATAGGATCATTAGAATTTCAAAAACAACCTAATTAAAACTCAGTTCAGAAAAAAATACTCTTCATATAATTTAAAGCATTCAGTTGTACAAACCAGAGGACGTATTATGTAAATATTATGCAGCTCTACACTGATTATCGGCTATATGTGTATGTACACATATGCTGACATACATATGCAGCACTCCTTAATGTATATGCACATAAACACTAACAGAAACACTCACAAGACCGAATGTCACAGCAGCAGGCTAATTTCCCACTCAGTATGTGTGTCACTGTGCTCTGCTCATACTTGCAAACGGACAGATGGACACAGAGAGAGACAGAGAGAGAGAGAAAGGAGGGAGAGAGAGAGAAAGGGGGGAGCGAGAGAGAGGGAGAGAGAGAGAGAAAGTTTGAAGGGGTGGAGTGGTACAGTGAAGCCCTGTGGCTCAGGCCCATTAACAGTCTTGATTTATGCTGCTCTGCATGCTGTGGTGGGACAACGTCAGCCGAGTCTACTGTATGTGTGTGTGTGTGTGTGTGTGTGTGTGTGTGTGTGTGTGTGTGTGTGTGTGCTGATTCAGGGCTTCAGCAGGCCACACTCTGATAATACATATCTATGAGACCACGCATGAATGGCGTGTTTGAGATAGTTTCGTGGCCAGACAGGCACCAGACAGCCTGAGTCCAGAGTTTAGCTTGGGGGCTGAAATTAGTTTTTTTCTAGGGGGGGGAGGAGAGGGGGAGCGACCGGGGGGAAACACGGCATACTTCCCTGTGACTGACACCGTCACACAAATACAGTTATGCACCACGCAGACAAAGACACACAGACGAAAACCAATCTAAATCCACCGTAGCAATCCAAACCTCAGTAAGACTGCAGTTTAGGGTGTTATTACTGAGCGTCTGAGGCTGTGTCATAAGTTTGGAGGAGACAGTCCTGTGATTGCGCTGCCATTTTGGACCATTTGTAAGTGCTTCTTATAACAGACTAATGCTGATGGTGGTGGTGTGGTTTCGGTTTCATGTCCCAGCAATTTTTAACTTTTTTTTTCCCTCTCTCTCTCTCGAGGTCGCAGTGAACCCATCAGCATCCAATTAAATCCCTGATGGTAGGGAAGACACCGAGAGGCTGATGAAGAGAAGACGAGAAATGATGAGAAGGATTGGTTGAAAGAGGCGTCCTCGGATTTCTCTATACAATATGTGCATAATGACTTCCGTTGACAATTATCTTTGATCCAGCGCGAGCCACCCCCTACCCCTCCACCCTCAGCCATCACCTCATCTCCCCCATCACTTCCTCCTCCATCCTCAATTCACCATCCTTTAATCTTTTCTGTGGCTCTGCGATGACGCTCAGTTCTCTGTCGTCTGTTTAAACGTCTTTTCTGAAACTGCCAGAGAGTGACTTCAGGAATGACAAATATATTTACTGTTCATGTACACAGACACACACACAGACACAGACACACCCCCCACCACCCCACCACCTCTATGTGAGTGGATACAGAGTGACTGGGTAATGAGGCTCACTCACTCAGGGTCGGTGACCTCAGATGAGGAGGAGGGGAGGAGGAGGAGGTGTTTGGAGAGGGGGGGGCGTGTGTACTGAAAACAAGAGAGGGGAAGGGAAAGCAGGACTAATAGCAAGATGGAGGAGGGCTTTCTCTCTTTTTTTTCCCCTCATCATTTCTCTCCCTTTATTTGTCATCTTCTCTGTGTTCCTTGTCAGCAGTTAGAGTGCTGCATGGACGCAGGGGAGAGACGGGAGGTGGGGGTGGGGAGGGAGTAGCAAAGAGAGAGAAAATGTTTAAGTGCTGATGGCAGCCCCTTGTTGCTGCTGGGACCGGGGTGTCAGCTCTTATTCCACCACAGCATGCGTCTGACAGGCAAAGGATAGAGAAAGGGAGCGAGGGAGGAGAAGAGATGAGAAGGGGGGAGGGATAAGGAAAAGGAAGGGCTGTGTGATGGGTGAGGCTGGTGTTTTATTGACCCCCCCCACACACACACACAGTTCTCATCCTTTTCTTTTTTCCTGTGTTCGGTGATAGATTGAGTTATACTGCTCCCTCGGTGACAGGCATTCCCTCACGTTTCCACGGCGATGAGGTCAGAGGTGGACGCTCGTTATTGGCTGTTGTCTGTAATCATCACCGATCGTGCTGTGTGTTTGTTGGCCCTCCTCCTCCTCCTCCTCCTCTCTTGACCCCGACGACCCTGCTCCGTGCAGTGGAGCGCGACCTCCGGGGGCCACCGGGTCTCGACTGTCTCGACCCGGAGGTCAGGGGTGTTTACAGAGTGTTGGCGTTTGTGTGTGTGTGTGTGTGTGTGTGTATAAACTGCTTCGGCTGATCATACAGAAAAGAAGACAAATAATATGATCTGATTGAGAAGCAAAAATAGACAATGAAAACATATTTCTGACACCCTTCACCCCCACCCCCCCCACCCCACTCCCACCACCACCTCTCCATCCTCTTTGCTGTTTCCTACTATACTTTATCGCGTGTCTCCATTCTGCCCGCACTGTCAGTTTGTGGTTAGCTGATGTTTCACAACTTCTCCCACAGCTGTTGATCTGTCTGTGTGTCGAGTGTGCATGTATGTGCTTTACACCAGTGTGTGTATGTACTGTATCCAGCGTGTCCCGCAGCAGTCTCTCTTCATCGATTCAGCGGTGACAGACGGGGTTATAGATAGCTCTTTGAGACCCTCACGATCAATCTTATCACAGGCACACTTCCTCCTCACAGCTCACAGAGAGCAGGGAGAGAGGTAAAAGGGGAAGAAAAACATTAAGAAGAGGAGGGAATGGAGAAAATAAAGAGGAAATGGGAAGAGAAGGGTGAAGTAACTGAGAGTTCAATCTGAAAAACATGCCTGTGTCCATCGACATTCTTGAAAGTGTGTGTTAATGAAACAGACACTGTGAAGAGGCTATGTGGCTGCATGCACCGTGTGTGTGTGTGTGTGTGTGTGTGTGTGTGTGTGTGTGTGTGTGTGTGTGTGTGTGTGTGTGTATGTGTGTCTGTGTGTGTCTGTGTGTGAGGGAGGAAGTGACAGAGAGAAATGAGGGCTACTGTGAGGAAATGGAGGCAGTGATGGAGCGGCCAGGTTCCTCCGGGGCTGCCACAGACACACAGACAGAAACCACGAGCGCCAAAAAGACGCTCCAAAATGGCACCGTTGACTTCATACCACCAACGAGCAGAACACCACAGAACCACCTCAAATAATTGCCCCTAATGGCATATCATTCCCCCTGTGATGCAGCTTGGTTTGATGCTTTGTGTGTATATATGTGTGTGTGTGTGTGTGTGGGCAGTGGTTTCTGGCTCCAGCTCTAACATGGCTGTGATAGAATTGGGTCTCAGTGACAGTAGATGGGATGTCAGCTCGCCAAGAGTGGACAGTAATTGATGGAAAGCCCGGCTAACGTGATGTGTCAGACATATGAGGCCTGTCTAATCAATGGGAGCATGTGACCGGTTTTTGGGGGCTATGTGTATGTATGTGTGCGTCTGTGTGGATGATACAGTTATGCTGGGCACATCACAGTATGCACCAGCGTGTCTGCGATCCAAATCAGGCACGCGAGACTGTTGATTTTCAGGACTGGAGGCTGAAAAAGAGGAGAAGAAGAAAAGAGAGGAGGAGATCTGAATGAAGCAGATGCTTAAGGGCAGGTTTTAACCCCCCCTCCCTGTTACACACACACATTTCTTCCTCCCCTTCACTCTCCCTTCCTCTCTCTCTCCCATGATGAATCAGCTGTCACTCAGGCACCAGTCCAATCTACTGATAATGAGAACTGCATCAACACCCTCTCGCCTCTCTTCCTCCCTCTTTCTCTTTCTCTCAGTCTCTTTTTACTCACACACACGCACGCACCAACTAAATCATCCTTCCTCCTCTCTTCATATTTCACACACACACACAGACACACAGACACACACACACACACACACACACACACACACACACACACACACACACACACAGATACGTCTGCACGCCACACTCACATAAACTCATTCATCTCTCCCTCACTCATCCGTCTTATGATTCTCCTCCCCTCTTTTTTCCTTCCTCCCTCCCTCCTCCTTCCCTCCCCTTCCTCCTTCCCTCCCCCTCCTCCTCCTCCTCCTCCTCCTCCTCCTCCTCGGTGCTCGCTGAGCTGAGCAGTCAGTGGTGGGACTGAGGCAAAGGAGGGAGGATAAAGCAAGAATAGAGACAGAAAGGAGAACAGAGGCACAGAAAAACAGATCATTATACAGCAAACGAGCAAGAGGCCGCTGAATGAATAACAAGGAAGGGATTACAAAGCGCAGGACTAAAAAAAGGAGAGAATGCCGGCTGAAGACTCTCTCTCCCTCTACTCTCTCTTTCTCTGACTCCCTCCCTCCCCCTCCTCCTATCCTTCCTGTCACCCTCCCAACTCTCTCAGAGGCTCTCCCTCTCAGGCGATCTCCTCAGTAAAAGATGGCATGAGCCCACTGTCACCCATCCTCAGCTTGTGGAGCGTTTCGTTCGCCTCATTTTCTCTCTCTTTCTGTCACTTTCTGTCTGTCTCTTTCTCCTCTGATCCCTCCACCTCTTTGCTCCACACGGGTTCAGTGCAGAGGGTGAAGAGGAGGTAGACAGAAGCTGACCTCTCCCCTCTCCCCTCCCTCCTCGCACCCTCAAGGCCCAGAGAGAGAGAAAGAGAGAGAGCCGGAGCAGGGAGCTGTCTGATGACTTACTCCAACAACGAGCTCCTTAACCCGGCCAACCACAGCCCCGATACCCACCTGCCCACCACCCTCCCATCCTCCCATAACCCAGACTCTTCTACCCATGATCCAGGACCATGTTTGGATTAAAGACTCCACACTTCTACCTCCCAGGTAAGACCATTTTTATTCAGTAGTATTTAACTTTTCTGTGGAGTCTGTGCTGGTATTCCTTGTGCTTTCAGACTGTATCAAACATGGTCACATGGCTGCAGAGAGTGAATTTCCCTCTCATTCAATCATTCCTTTCAAGGCATAATTAAGAGCTTAAGTGATGTCACATTGATTTACTGTCTTCTGCAGGTAAGAAGAGATACCACATACTCACAGATAATGCAGCCACCGTGCTGAATACTGTTTTTGTTATTATATTGTTCATTTTTAAGTGGCAAGATTTCTCAACATTTGCTCACAGTGTTGGTTCGAAGACATATTGTATGCCTTTAGTTGTGTATTTTCTGTTTTCATGCTGTTGTGGAAGTTATATCTACAATTTGAATTTTTTCCATAACGTATAACGAGTATCTGTGTACATCTTTTATTATTCATTTCACAAGTTGTTGCTGTGTTGTTGATATGGATTTTTGTTGTTAATTTTAAGCTTGATTGAATGAATGTGTAGCTGATGCAGCGGACAAAAAAAACAACTTAAAATAAAATGAAACATTGCTGAAATGAATAGTCAGTCTATGTAAATTAACTGGCAACTACTTTGATTATCGAGTGTAATTCGTAATTTTTTTATTGTTTGGTTCCTCAAATGTAAATATTTGCTGGTTTTCTTAGTCTTCTATGATATTACTGTAAGCTGAATATCTTCAGACTTGTTGGTCCAACAAAACAATTGATACGAATACGTCATCCAGAGCTTTGGGAAAATGTTTTCTGAATAATCGACTATTTAATCAAAACAGTTCAGTTTAAAACAACCGGAGCTGATTAAAGTGGAATAGCGCAATAAGGAAATATCAAATATGTGCACAAATATTTGATGTTAATTAAGTTAGGTACAGCTCTTATCAGTTGCCATGATAAAGGTTGGTCTGTTTATTATCTCTCCTTTGCTCTGGAGCTTTTTCCTGTTTTTGCCAAGCAGCCTGGACATTCAGTGTGATAAACAAGAGCAGCCAGTGTCTGTGAGGAGACAGGTATGAGGTTACCTGAGAAAGGTGCTTAAACATGCCCGGTGGCAGGATGACAGAGAGACACTGAAAAGAGAAAGGAGTGGGGAGGAGTGGGGAGTGAAAAGGCAGTGTGAAGGAGAGGATTGAAAGGGCAAGGTGAGGAGGAAAGAAAAAGGTGTGTAAACTTGGATTTTGTTCATTTAAGCAGTTAAAGGAAATTATATGAATGATAACGTTGTTGAAAGAGAACACTTCTCGCAGACGTTCCCGACGTGTCTTTCACCTGACCCCTAACCCTGACCCCTGACCTTTTAGTTGTATGGGCCAGACTGTGGTCAATGATTAAAAACCCTGCTGTGGTAAAAGGTTAAAAGAGAGGGAGGGAGGGAGGGGTGATTCGAGAGAAGGAGAAGCAGCGAGGGAGGGATTGATGGGGGGTATTAAAGGGCGGAGGGCAGATTAAACAATGTTCTTTGCCTTGTGAATCTTTCATGCTGGTTTTTGAATTATACATCTGCTTTCATAAATGATTGAATTGAAGTGATTATGTGGTGCTTTGTCATTGTTTTCATATTTGTGTGTGTGCGTGTGTGTCCTATTTGCGCGTGCATGCGAGCAAGAGAGGAGGAAGAAGAAAAATCTCTCTTGGAAGCAACAACCCCCCCTCCACCACCAACAACCCCCTCCCTCCAATCTCGCTTTCATCCTCTTTTTTCAGTTTCCTAGGTCTCGTTTAATGTCTGTGTAGTGTGTATGTGTGTGTACGCTTGAACGTCTATGTGCATGCGTGTGTGTTCGTGTGTGTGTGTGTGTGTGTGTGTGTGAACTTGATGGTGTTTTTGTGTGTAAATGGGTTTTTGTCATAGCTGGCACCTTAATACGTGTGTGTGGTGTGTGTGTGTGCGTGTGTGGTTGTGGTTGTGGTTGTGTGCACCTGTCTGTTCTGTTTGTGTTTATGTAGGTGTGTGTGTGTATGTGTGTGTGTGTGTGTGTGTGTGTGTGTGTGTGTTCTCATCATTCACACACTGGAAGATGCCCCAGCCCCCCTCCTGGTCCTAACTGCCGTTGCTGTGGAGACAGTGTCAGCCACACGCTCTCTCCTCAATGATCATTTGACAATGTAGGGGGTGAGGGGTAAAGGATTTGTGTGTGTGTGTGTGTGTGTGTGTGTGTGTGTGTGTGTGTGTGTGTGTGTGTGTGTGTGTGTGTGTGTGTGTGCAATGTGGAGCGATTACTGTGTGATTAGTCAGGGTAGAAGGAGTAGAGCAGAGTAAGGATGAGACAGGAATGGAGATTAGAGGCAACAATAGAAAATCAGGTTAATGATACATATTATCTACATGAAAATCTTTTCAATAAAACCATCAACAGGAAAAAGAAAAGTGTGAGATAGGAGACATGACAGAAAGAGAGAGAGAGTGTGTGTGTGTGTGTGTGTGTGCGTGTTACATTCACGCGTTGTTACCCAGAGCACACCATGACCTTAACATGGTATCATAAGGAAAAGAAAGTGGCATTTTGCTATCTCCCACTCTCTGGACCCCCTGGTGATATGCACCACACACACACACACACACACACACACACACACACACACACACACACACACACACACACACACACACACACACACACACACACACACATAGCAGCAGTCTACTGTTTTGCCTCAGTGGTTTGTTGGTTGATGGCAATTCAAATATCTTTTCAAGAATTGGGTTTTCAGAAATCAGAATGTATTCCCAGGAGAAGGTGCATCCAGGCTGCTGGGAGTTTTTGCACATCATGAAATAAACAAAACCATCTTTTACTATGTTTAAAGGATAAGGCTGGAAATATTCTATATTTTTCTTGTTGGCAACGAGTCCCATGAAAAGACCAAAACCAACACTGCGGTAGTCTTAGTACTTTTCAACTCCCCTATCCTGTCTGTGGCCCTCTGATTTATGATGACTAATGAAGAGGTAAAATCTTTAAAAAATGGGTCACAATATGCTTCCTCATATTTCACTAACAGCTGGCCGCTGTAGTTAAAGGACCAGCGTCCTTCCTGAACACTACTCGCATCAGTATTTGATCACCTGAGAATGAAAACAGGCTGTGAAATGTGTGGAAGTAACAGCAAAACAAAAAAAAAAAAAATTGTGAAAACAGAGCCAGTGTTTGGTTTGTCTATTCTAGGTTACTGTAGAAACATCGCGGTTCAACATGGAAGACGTCTGTAGATAAAAACTGCTTATTCTAATTAACAAAAACACCACTTATTCCCATATTCATGTGATTATACACTAATGAAAATATACCTATAAATATTATATTAAATTTCTGCCAATAGAGCCTCCTGAATGTTACACACTGGAGATGCAGCTGCAGATGAGCTACTATAGTGAGTATTTACAGAAGCAGCTTGGTGTGTGTAGGATTCTTCATAATGAAGGTACACGTCACCCAGTGTACTGATGTTTAGTTTACAGGGGAGCTCATTGCATGAAGGAATAAGCTGTATCAGCCTGTAAAGGTCCAGTGTGTAACATTTAGGAGCATCTATTGGCAAAAATGAAATATAATATTCACAGTTATGTTTTTATTAGTTTATAATCACCTGAATATAAGAATTGTGTTTTTGTTACCTTAGCAGTTTTATATACAGAGGGAGCGGGTTGTGCCACTAAATCCTACACACTGGTCCTTTAACTACAGACAGTAATTGTTAGTGGGATGAATTCATTATTAGTTTCGGTCTTTGAAAGGGATTTGTTGACATCGCCAGCTTTATCCTTTCAAATTGTTTGATGCCCAGCAGACTGAGATAATTCATCTCCAGTTCTCACAATGTCACCAGGTCAAACACGCCTCAAATGTCTGCATGAAGAATGGACACCTACTCAGTGACATTTGTGTTTCTGTCCATGTATGCATTCACTCACGTGCGCACACACATTATCCGCGGCGAGTCAATAGGGCGAGAAAGTCGGGTTGTTGACGTGTGTATTAGCCTGCCATATTTATTGGCTGCTGTGGTATTTTCGGGGGTTGGGTAGCTCTGTTCGACTTGACCTCTGCATTGATTTCCATGATATGTGTTAGAGCTACAAGGACACTGTGGCTTGTGATTTATGGCAGATGTCACATGAAAACACACACACACACACCCAGAACAACACAGACACACACTTCTCACTCAGCCTCAGGCTGCGGTATCATGAGCTCTGCATTTGATAACTTCACTCTAAATATTTTCCCTGCATTGCACAGCAGCAGCAGTTCTACATACACAAATACATACTTATTTCTCAGGCAGCAGAAGAGTAATAACTTTAAGACTTGTGAACGTTGTGGTGATGAGAAAGACTGTCCTTCTGTCCAGGTATCATTAAGGGAGGAAAACAAAATAGAGTTCAGAATCGGATGAAATTGTTCATTAAAAACAAATAAAACAACTAAAGCTCAAGTTTGAGGCAAGCTTAAATGTCATTTTGTGCTGCAGACAGACTAAAACTAGTCCTGAGGGCCTGTAATGATAGATTGATAATGCCTTAGAATTTATTGGAGTAGTATACTCGGTGTGACTCTCTTGTTTCTCAATTTCTTTATTTCTCTGCTTTCCTCATTTCATTTTCTTCCCTCTTTGTTTTTCATTTTACGTTGGTTAAGATGCCAGGTGGGCTCTGCCACGTACGTGCTGTAGTGGAGCCAGAATTTAATCTATGAATTTAGTCTTTATTTTATGTAGAACACGAGGTATTGTGCATATATGTTTTTAGTGGGTGGAGAAGCCACTGGCACGCACACACGTTTGTGTGTGTGTTTGGCCATATTTCTATTCTGTATCTATGTGGAGAGAGTCTTTGTGTATTCATGCAGGAGGCTGAGATGGGTGCTGCCTCAAAGGAAGCTGCTGTCAGGCTCTCTTGTGCTGCTAATTGTGTGTGTATGTGTGTGTGTTTGCATCTTTGTGTGCAAGTGTATGCATGTTTGTGCTCACTAGTG